GGGGGGGGGGCACCGTGGTGGTCCTGGGCCTTGGACGCTGGAGCTTGCGCCCGTGGTTAGGGGTCAAGAGCGGGACTCAGGTGGTCCGTCGGCGCCCAGCGGCGTGCGAGTGCGGGATGCGGGCAGTTCTCACTCGTGAGACCGGATCCGTCCGGCTCGCCCTGCCCACCTCTCTCACCTTGAGAGTCCGGCCCCGGGTCTGTTTTCCAGTCCTCTCGAAACCCGCTCCCGGCGGCCAGGCAGGAGGCGCTGGGGAAGTGCCTCAGCCCATCCAGGGCGCCTCGCCGTGCTCAGGGTGACGGCTCGGGACTCACGGTGGTGCGCTGTGGGGCAAAAGCCTCCTTTCGGGGGCTGCAGAGAGGGCTCTGCTGGGAGGTCTGGGGTATGGGCTTCCTGCCTGGCTGCTCAGAGGGCTGAACGACCTGATTATCCCCCTGAGCGGTCTGTACCACCCCCAGCGGTTGTCCTGGGGAGAGGTGTGATGCTGAAGGTAGAGATCAGAGCAAGGGCTATTCAGGTGAATGATCAGTGTCACCCTCCAGCTGTGCAGCAGCGAACCTTTGATCCTCCCAGCAGTCTGAAGCAGGGGGAGTCAAGGGGTGTCCCTGGGGACCCCGGTGAGATCATTGGCTGAGCCAGGACTGCAGTCCAGTCTCGGCCCTGCCCCGCCCCCGCACCTGGAGCGATTGTGCCTTTACACGGGTGTCCAGGCCCTTCCATGCCACTGCCTATGACATCCATGTGGCCTCCCATCTCTTGAAAAAAGCAGAGCTCTATATCTGAGCCATAAGCTTCGTTCCCTCTTGTCTCTCCCGTCACATTTCCCGACAAGTGCTCTGCACCTGCTGCCTCCTCCTGCTCTGCGCCTCCCCACTTAATCCTCTGCAGCCTGGCTGCTGGCCCTGCCACTGCGCTGAAACTGCTAAATCACTTTCCTGAAAGTCATCTTGTTTCCAGACACTGCTCTTTTGTGGGCCCTCTGTTGTGCCTGGGAAGCCCACCCCTGGGTGCCAGAGTCCTCTTTGCAGCCTCCTCTGCCATCATTTCTGGGCACGCCTCTCTCCTGGCTTTGTTTTTCATTCTCGATTGTTGCTTCTTTTCTGAGTCCTCTTCCATCTTTTCTGGGACTGCTTTTTGAGGCCCCATGTTTAGCTTCTCATGAGGCCTGCTTGGGAGACCTCTGGGAATGCCCCCTCTGGTTTCCAGCCCCAGTCCTGTCTTGCTCTCCTTGGATGCCTCAGTGTCCCCACAGACTCAGCAGTCCAAGTCTGGACTCCTCCTCCTCCCAGGCAGCTGCCCTCAGTCCTCAGCAGTGGGTTCCCTCCTTCTCTGTCACGCCAAACTAGTCTCTGAAGGGTCTGTCTTCTCTCTTTTGTGACCGGCCCCTCCAGACCTTGAACATCTTAGGCCAGAGGACAGAGACCTCTTAGCTGGTCTCTCTGCTGCCAGAATCTCCGCCAGTCCCATCAGCAATCCATCCGGCATGTCACCTCTAGAGTGGTGGTCCCTGAGGAATCTTCAGAGGCTTTGGATTTCCTCCCATGGATGTGAAGTCTTTTGTTATGTGGCCTCACTGTCAACCCCTTTCCAGTCCTGCAACTTCTTGCCTCCCAGCCATGGTTGGCCCTCCTGCCCCTGCCCTCTGGTGCTTGGCTCGGGTGCCATTTCCCTGGGAAAGAGTTGCTCGCCTCCCTGGCTGCACGGGGCCCCTTTCTTGGCCTTCTGGCTCCCCTGTGTCCACCCTGGGACCACTGTTTGCAACTAACTGTCTACTGATCGCCCTCCCCTCCTGTCCCTGATAGCAGTGGGAGGCCTGTTCCTTTTCTCTCTGGATCCCCAGGACCGGACATCCTGGAGGTGCTCAAAAAAGAAACTCCCACCCCTAAACCTCCAAGAACACCTTCCCTTCGTCCTTCAGAGCCTAGTTCAAACTCCACCTCCCTCCAGGACTGCTCCATTCTTCCAGATTCCAGTCTGTCCGTACTGCCAGGCCTGTTGATGGGCTCATTACAGGCTGGGCCACGCAATTTAATACCTTGTTCTCTGTTAGTAGCCTCCCATTTTATCATGTGTGTGACACAACAGCTGTTCATTGAACAGGTCTTTCTGTGTCGGGCAGTGTGCTGATCGGTTTAGGTTTTCCCTCGGTTTGTGTTATCCTCACAACACCCAGAGAGGTAAAGTGTTAAGATTATTTTCCTCATTCTTCCCATGAGGACACAAACTCAGAGAGGGTCGAGAACCTGCCTAAATCACACAGTTTGTGAGTGGGCAGAGTAGAGGTTGGGACCCACGTCCATCTGACTCCCATGGCTGTTTTCAGATACTGGGATCTGCTGTTTGTGCAGGAAAGCAGAAGCTTCCGCCCAGGGAGTGTGTTACACGTCTTCTGTGTCCCGTCAGCACATGGTCCAGGTGTGCAGGACATACTTGGCTTGGTTGGTTTGGTTGCTTGGGTTTCTGCTAGACTTCAGGAAAAGACTTTGTAACAGATACAGGTTAATGGTGGGACCAGTGACTCAGGGAGGCTGTGACATCCATCCTGGGAGGCCTTGGAAACAGGTATTTTTTCCCCCTCTTGCCTTAAGTCAAAGTTGTGGAATAGAGAGAGACTTGAAAGGGCCCTCGAGTCATTTCTGTCCCTTAAGGCACTTTTAAATGCCTTTTTTTGGTGAGGGCAAGTAACCCCCTGTCCCCCAAATAGTAATGCCTTCAACTAAGTTTCTTTAGGAGACATCCTTTCCTTCTTTCTGCAGGTCACTGTCATATGAAAATGAGTTCCTGCTGTGAAATGTGGTTACCATGGCGACTAACAGTGCAAGGCCCAGTCTTCTCCTCCAAGGTCTCTGTACTGTATGCTTCCAGGGGCTTTTCCCATGTTTATCACCTAAAAGAAAAAGTATTCCTCTTTACTCCCTTTTTGCACAGACATTAAAAAAAAAAACTTTTTGTTCCAGGCCATAATTTTGTCATCCGGCTGTTGGCACACCATTAATAATGACCCCAGAACAGTGACCCTGGTTTATGTCACATTTTGAGTGACATTGAGTGCCCCATGGGTAAAAGGACAGTAGCTACAGCCGCCAGTTTGATGCCTGGTGCGGCAGAGGGACAGGGAGTGGTCTGGTGTTGCAGGGAGGGGGGGCTTGTTGGTGCAGCACTGCTTCTGTTGGAGGTGGTGAAGCTGCAAGTCTCCAGTTGCTGTTTCCTCTTCTGTTCAGAGCAGGGTTGCCTCGGGGGTGTTAAGAAAGACAGGGTGTCATGGCAGTATAATAGCTACTAACATCGAGTGCTTACTGTATGCAGACAGTTTCCTTATTTAATCCTCAACCAAATGAAGCTAGAAGTACTGTTATTATCCCATTTTACAGGTAAGGAAACTGATATACAGAGACGTTAAGTGTTTGTCCAAAGACACACAGCCAGTAGGTGGTAGAGTTGTGCTTTGGTCCTAGGAAGTCTGACTCCTGTGGCCGATGCTCTTTACTTGGCGCTCTGCAGGTAGTGGAAGCACTACGTTTAAAGAATGAAAGGGTGAATTGGAGAGGGGGGCAGATTGGCTTTCCCAACATTTGAAGCTTAAAGCAATAATTTTTTTTTTCCTTTTTTTTGTCTTTTTTACTGACCGGTAACGGGATCACAACCCTTGGTGTCGTGCCCGTACCGGGGACCGGCAACGGAATCGCAACCCTCAGTGTCGCACCCACACCGCGCTCAGACAGTGAGCGGGAACCGGTCTCCACATGGGATCCGAACCCTCAGCCGCCGCGCTCCCAAGCGGCGCATTCTCCAGTGCGCCACCGGGCCGGCCCTAAAGCAATAATTTTCAATGTTTTATAACGTACGATAGGCAAAAGGCTGCCGTGAGAAGGCATGTACTAGAATGTTCATGGCAGCACTATTTGTAATAGCCAAAAGAGAAAAAAAACTGGAAATCGCCCAGTGTCCTTCAGCAGTAGAACAGACATGTAAATTGGGGTGAATACAGACAAGAGAGCACGCTGTCACAGTGAAAATGAACAATCTACAGCCACACGGTACAGCACGCACGAATGACATAAGCATGATGTTGAGCAAAAGGAACCAGATGTGAAAAAGCACGTGCTGTGTGAGTCCATTTCTGTGAAGTGCAAAAAAGGCAGGATGAATTTGAGGAGTTGGAAGTCTGGGCAGTGGCTTCCCGGAGGCATGAGGAAGGCTTCTGGGAGGCTCTTCATCTGGGTGTTGGTCACATAGGGGTTCATACTGTCACAATTAATCGATGTTGATATGTGTACTTCTGTGCATGTGTGTAATACTTCAATAAAATTTACCAAAGCGGGAAAAAAGATGGCAGTGACCCTAAACCCAGGGCGTGAACACAGACACACCAGCCATTCTCTTATAAGAGAGGCCACGTCTTTGACTTCACTGTACTTAGGACCTTGGATTTCTCGTGACAGGTGGGAGGTGCCATGAGGGTGGGCACCCAGGTTCTGGCATGGGTCAGCTCTGGTTTCTTCCTGTCCCCTTCTACTCTGCCGGCTTTGGGGAGAGCTGGCTTAGCTAGAAGGTGGATGATGGGGTTGGGCTGAGTCCCTGAAGTTGCCCTTTTCTTGCTGCCAGGATGCTCTGGGTGTCAGCGAGGTGATGTGCATCGCCTCCTGCTGGTTGTGGGGAGTGAGGTCGGCCTGGGGAGACTAGAATACTGGGTGCTGCAGCCCCGGCATGCACATGCTCAATGACAGCAGTGAGCTGCCTGCAAGACACTGGCATTTCAAGGACTGCGCCCACCTGGAAAGTAAGCGGCATTCACCGGGGAGCAGTGTCTCTGTTCACATGGCGCTTACGTGCTGCTAAAAATACCCGAGCACCTTATGTAAGACCGCAGTTATGGAGTTAGCACCTTATGTAAAAGCACTTGTTTTACCATGGACAATTAATCAGTTGCGTGTTGCGGTGGCTGTGGTGGGCATCCTTAGGAAGTTGGTGGTGGGTTTGCCTGTGGAGGAGGGGGAACGACTGCGGATATCTAGCCCTGCCTGACTCCTGCAGCTGCACGGATGCCTCATTTACACGTTGGTGCCTTGTCATCTTTGGGTCTGGCCCATCCCAGCAGTTGAGTGATACCGGGGTTTGTAAAGTTTCCTCTTGCTCAGTCCTGCCCTGCCTTCTCATTCACCGACAGCAATCCCCTGACTCACAGATGACGCATCTTGGAATTAGAAGGGGTTCCTTCTGCATTCAAGGGTCCCCTTCACCAACAGCCAGGATGGGTGGCCATTTGGCCAGTGCTTGAATGCTGCCAGCGATGGGGGCAGCCCATCTCATTGTTGG